TCGAGCTGCGAGTCACGCATGGTGACACTGCCGTGTGGCGCTCTCGGTCTTTTCTTCGTTTGGTATTTCCTACGCCGGACGTATGTACGTGTGAACGCCGTGCGATGGTACGGAAGACGGGCGAACGAGGAAAAGAGGAAAGAATGGGGGAGATCCAGTTAGATAGAACCGGTCACACGAATGTACGTTCGCATTAGGCGAGTGGAGACGTGAGTGGTTAGAGGGACAGTCCGGGCGCCCTCCTTCGCCGCCCTCTATTTCATCTCGCTTCTCTTCTCACCTGTACAAACTTCCTCCTCGCGTCGCTCCCTTTACACACACGATTTTTGCGTTCTCTAATTTCCTATACGACTGTACGAAGCCGCACGAGGCTGCGGTCTTTTCTGCATATCTCAAACTCTGTTATTACTTCCGTCGACGTTCGTTCACCGCATCGACATTCGCCCATATACATTATCTTCCTTTCTCTCACTGTATATCTGTTTCTCTCTTATATTGTGAACCTTAAAGTTTTATGTGTAACCGTCCGTAACTGTTTTTGTCGTTCTTTACCCCATGTTTACCCGCTTCCCCTCGAGACTACCCTTCTCTAAAGAAATTCTTTGGCTACGAAAAAAAACAAAAGACTAAAAGAGAAATAGACCCGCTGACGAAAGAGAAAAGAAAAGGAAATGTAAGTTGTCCAATGTTGAAACAAACTTAGCATATTGGCCCTCCATGCTACTCTCTCCCAACTGGCACGACTCTAGTTGTATATTAGCGTCCATTTCTTTCTTTTGCGGCTCATCCCTTGCGTTTCACGTTTCAGTTCCCCTTAACATATACTTACATATATATATATCTAATTTCTGTTCTGCCGTTTAGGTATGGCTAATTCGTCGTTTAGCGATCACCAGCTGTCATAGTTCGTTTCGAGCCTTCGAGCCTTGTTCTGTTCTGTTCGTTTCCACTTTCTTTTTCCCCTAGTTTCTCCTTTCTTTTTCTCCTTACTCCTTCGTTTCACTGATTTTTGAGCTCGTCAATAAAATAACTAAGCAAAATTAATCATAATATGCTGGCGTAAAAAAGAATTCTCATTAAACGACATTGAATATTAGAATAAAACTGCAAACTCATTGGTTGAACAAGTATGAGGTAATTGTAAATTAGAAATCAGTGATTAATAGGGAAAAATAAATTATTTTACTTAATACGAAACGAAGGTTTAAACTTCTTCATTCTTCTTTTCTCTGTCTTTTGATTTCGCTATAATACTGCTATACGTTCCTTTCTCTCGTTCTCTCTCTCTCTCTCTCTCTCTCTCTCTCTCTCTCTCTCTTGCTCTCTGTTTCTATCTGTTTGTCTATCTGTCTGTTTGTACGTCTATCAACCTATCGATTTTTATTTTTATCATTAAACGCAGTTTTACACGAACAACAAATCCGTCCAGAATTAAATATAAATACATGTATTTACAATTAATTTTGTGCCAAACGTCCGGAACTCTTTTCATCGATCGGCCGATACTGCTAAAGGGATTTCTCGGAAATTTACGCGAGCCCTCGACTTGTTCAAAGGATATGAAACAAGAGCAATGTACCGCGGGCGTTTGGCCTACGCTTTCCCTGCAATTTAAACGTTCCATTCGAAGGGATACCAGAGAGTCGTGAGAATTCAGTTTGATTTTTTAAAATCGTTTGAACTGTTAGACATAATATCGACAAACGTATTGGACAGTAAATAAATATTTATTATTAAATTATTTTTTTACAAGCAAATTATGCGTTATCAACAATTTCAATCATAGAAAACGAGGTTTTTTTCTTTAAGAATGAGGAACATTTATTAATTCTGTTAAATAGATCACGAATTTTTATGCAAAAATGAAACTATATAAACATATTTTATTTATTATAAATACAATTATTAGATTCAGTATTGGGCTTGCAATCTTCCATTTTCAATTTTTTCGTTAATACACTTTATGCAATCTAGTAATAAATTGCATTAATCTGTTATTTACTTGAGATACTCAAAACTCGATTTAATCAAATAGCAATCGAACTTCATTTTTTACCTCGAATTTGGTTTTCCTGTATTTTAAATACTCCATTAAAAGCAAACATCTGGGAATTTGTGGTTTCAGTCGAATTGGCAGCACATCAATCCAAATAAATGTATACCTTGAAACCAAGTTATCCATTACATTTAATTAACTGGCCCATTGACCTGAAGTTAATTATACAACGACGTGGAGACGAAATTAACTAACACAAGCAAATCGTACTTGCGATTGAATTTAATCAGTTCCATTAAGTTCAATTAGACATTCAATTGCAAACAAATCCAAAGATTTTATTCAGTGTAAAATTTTAATGATCTTCGTGAAAATGTTGGTAATGTATTTTTTGCAGCAAATTTTTTTCATTAGGTTTCGATATATTATTGAAATATTAGATTCTATGAAAGAGTTTACATATGACAATTTTTTTAATATTGCATTCTATTCTATTCTACATTAAACTATTTGAGAAATACTTAACAAAAAATTAGTATAATTATGGAAAATGATAAAAGCGTCTCACAATTCATTTTATTAAATTTATATAATATTTATGACTCTTGAATTTGGGATAATTTCGTTGAAAATTGAAAACTGGGCGATTTATTTTGGTTCTGCTATTAATTTATTCTTTTTAATCAAATTGAATATACCAATTAAGTGCTCTTAGCTTTATTTATACTGAAGTTCACATGATACTCTACTCAGAGTGTGAGCTTTTCTCATAAGAAAATATTATACTTAGCTGAAGGAATTGCATTAAAAGAAAGGTGACGCTAATGACCAATGACAAGGGAAAGCGTATGCGAGAAGAGTGGTAGCTTGACACCGTTGCACATATAACACCAACGCCATGCTTTCCTTGCGACTCTGCTTCGGCTTTAAAGGTGTTCATCAAATGAAATATAAAACACGCGTGTACACGTATATATAAATTTGTGAATCATAAATTATGATACATTACGCTTGTGTGATACTCGAACCTGCTGGTCAAGATGACGAGGACAAGTGCGAGTCTGAAGAGGCAGAGAAATCGATGTTATCACACCGATCAGCTGTACGACCGACAATCGTCCGATCAAAAAGGCATCGAATTTTCCGTGGAAACAAAATTCAAAGGGCATACAGCTGCCCGTTGGCGGTCGATCATTATTTCCGTTTCGTTCACTGCATTTTCGCATGTCGATTGCACGCCGCGGGAATGGAAACTTTAAGGCCGAAAAAGCGCCGCGATCACACGCACACCTGGCTTGCGTAGACCTTTGAACGCGTGCAAATGCGTCTTCACCGGCGTTCACGAAACAGCATAATTTTGAAGATATTCTAAGAAGTATTATTTCTATCTCCCATCATAGAAAAATCGTCATTTTCTTAAATTGTTTTTAAACTATTCGAAATGTGTACTTGTTATGAAATTTGTAAACGCACACGGTGAATGCGCGCCTTCGAGCTGCCTGAATGTACAGTCCGGGAAAACGGTACGACGTGCGTGGAAATAGAGGCAAGGAAACTGTACCACCGTTTCTTTCTCCACGAGAACCGGGAGCAGTAGAGATAAGACAATAAGAACTAATTGTAAGAGGATTTCGTCAACGGCCAATGGAGGAGTCCGTAGAGCGAAAAAGGAACAGAAACAAGTATCGATTATCCATCGAGAATCCACTTACTGCGATTAAAGGAAACGGACCTTTTTCCTGACTGTATCGTATACCTCAGTGATGCACAATTACAACTCCATTCGAACTTGCGTTATTGGAACGAAAATTAAAAGCTGTTAAATTGAAGTTTAAATAAATGAACTTGCGAGACTTTTAATCAGAGAATAAACGTGGTGATTAACATTTTCAATACTGAAGTTATTACTTTTGTCGTTCACAATTAATTGTAGAATTTAAGATCATTTAATTTGTGCTAAATTATTCGGCGAAATTGGTGTGTGAACTGCGAAAATGTTTTAAATGGAATTGCTGCGGTTTATTTTATAACATTATTTAAACTCTTCAAGATTTATAGAACTACATATAAACGTGCACGTTAACGTAGCAATTAAATCTTTTTTATTATATGTCGCACTGAACAAATCTGCCCGACGGTCAATGCTCGACTTTCCTTTGTAATCTATTCATATTATATTTGTTTTATATTCTGTCGCAGTACAATTGCACGGATTAATTCTCGTATCCCGTAGCTCCCGACACGACGCCATTTCTAGAATTATTTCTGAATGCAGGGTTGTTCGGATAACAAAAAATACTGTAGACACAGGTGCGCAGCGGCAATTCCATTTAAGAACCTTAAATTATTTACCCCGTGAACGCAGAGGCATTTAAAATTCCTTTGCGTGTGTTGCGTGAAAGTAATCTAAACTTTCAGCAGAAAAATCAGTTCACTATTGTAGTGCTTTAAGGTAATTTAATAAAATAATTCATAGAAATTTGAATTAGTCGAATCGTATAATGACAATGAAGTAAATTTTAGATACGAGAAGATTGTCTATGATTGTTGATAATAAGTAATTGTTCGTCACTGACACGCGCTATTATGCTGGTGTAGCTAGTCGCCAAGGAGAGATGCATCTCTCGCGTACAATTATTATTATAACTCCCGATGCGCTTTGTACTGCGTGCTAAATTTTTTCCGCTCCTGTTCGTATTTCGCCTTCACTGAAAGAGGTTCCCGATCCACAGAGCTGCTTCTGCATGACCGGAATGCATCCGCTTTCTAACTTTTTCGCGTAGGAGTTATACGTGTGGAACATAGACGTTCGATCTTTCGATCCTCAATCGTTCATACTCGCCGCGAAGCTCATCCGATTACCCGTCACGACCTCAGCTTCGATCTGACGGTAACGGAGATCACGTCTTTGTTCATTCGTAGACTCGCCATTAGTCTTACTAATCGTCGTCGTCGCTCTGTTAGATCAAACGGATCTCCTCCAGTTTCCTCTGCTTTATTTTAGGAACAAATCGCGAAGGAGAAGCAGGTGTCGGGCCGGGTGCAGATTCAAGTGTCGTACGAGGCCGATCGAAAGGAGCTGATCGTTTCCGTTTTTATGGCCGACGATCTGTGCGCCAGGGAGGACACGGGATACGGCTCATTGCCGGAAGCGTACGCTAAATTGGTCCTCCTACCGATTTGGTAAGAATTCGTTCAACAGAAATATACAAGCTGTCCCAGAAAAAGTGTTACAGTCTAAAAAGGGTGATTTCCTATTTTTCAATTTGGCATTTTTTGTTATACGAATTGACTTGCCATTCGTCGCGAGAAATAATTTTACGGATTGTAAAATACACCCTTCTTCTCCGTATTTAACTTCAGAATGCGTTCCATGTGAAATAATTGGGTGCAAAAATTTTCATAATGCAATAAATAAAAACGAGGAGTTGATTATTTCAAGTTTTGTATGGTTCCATGGTATACGCGTTCCAGCGCCGATCAAACTACGTTGAAAACAGTGGTTGCGGAGCCTAGTCAAAAGCCGATTTGGAACGCTACGTTACTTTTCTCCGGAGTCGACGGAGAGAGCTTAATGAAGCGCGCGATAGAAGTTACTCTCTGGGATTTCTGTCCCGATGGTGATAACGTCTTTCTCGGCGAGTGCAATGTCGATGTGCAAGGAGCTCTCGAAAAAGACCGAGCGGTTTGGTAAGTATCTCTGATCCACGTTTTCTAACTCATTTTCAAGGAACAGGAATTTCCATTTCATTTTATAAATACATTATTAGAATATATCTTTTTCTGCATAAATACTAAAAAATTATTAATATTAATTTTAACAAACTTTCCATTGAAACAATTATTTTAATTCGATGTGAATAAAATTGTGTTGTCAGTTTTTAAATATAGTTTCCAGTTATTATAGTTAATTGAGCTTCTATTTTCGTATAAAAATCATTTGAAATTAGATTGCAAATGCCAAATTATAGAAACGAAAATACACGTCATTAGATTGCGGATCTTCATTCTATATTTTTATGCATCATACATAGCATTTTCATTTTCTGCAATTATAGTTTGCTTATAAATGCATAAAATCCATAGTCATCATATTGTTTAGAGATCAACAGAAAATAATTTCATTTTGTTGAACTGTGAAAAGATCGTATTAAAATGCTTTAGAAGCTTATAAGTAATTATAATTTGATGAATAGAATCTGAACAAATGGTTTATAGGTATCGGTTGGAAGATCCTCGCGGGCTCCGGGCGTCCAAATCACCGTACTGTTCACCCCGCAGCTCTTTCTCTATGGAGATTGCCCAAAGGTTACTGCGGAAGACCGAACTACGTGAAAGAAGTTACAGCGACGATACACAAAGCGACAGCGGAAGTCCCGAGCTCGGATTCCTGCATCCGGATCACGCTTGGCATGCAAATTCAAGGAGAGGTTCCAGCCAATCCGAGCAGCTAGAAGTAGAACCGTACGAACTCAACAGAGATTATAGCAGGTCTTTGCCTGGTAGCAGGAGGAGCAGTTTCCAGAGTCAAGGTGGCACTGACAGTAAACGTAAGTCTAATCCAATTATCGACGTGACGTTCAGTGAATTTGTAAATTTCCTTATTAAACTTGACATATTTCGATGAATATTCGTTAACAATTCATATCTTTATATAATAAAAAGAAATTCTATTACGAAGTTCAGTAAGGAAGGAATTTTCAAGCACACATTACACATTTATGTACTTCGCTACTGCTTTAAAGAGATATTTCCAGTTAGGGAATTATTCAATTTGCATGCGATTAGATTTTATCAAGTTCTGCTACAAGGATTAATTATGATTCGGCTAACGGAAGTCATGCCTCATGCTTTAAAGTAATTAGAAGACTTTTAACTAAGTCAGATTTTGAATAAAAAAATGAATATTCGTTGACTCTTCGCATCTCTGTATAATAAAAAAAAGTTCTATTACGAAGTTTAGCAAGGAAGGAATTTTCGAGCACATATTAAACATTTACGTGATCCACTACGGCTTTAAAGAAATATTTCCAGTTAGGGAATTATTCAATTTGCATGCGATTATATGTTGTCAAGTTCTGGTATAAGGATTAATCCTGATTCGGCTAACGGAAGTCGTGCCTCATGCTTTAAAGTAATTGTAAGCCTTTTAACTAAGTCAGATCTTGTATCTCTTAGCGAGGTTCGTTAACATGCAAATGAAATTTTTCATTTTCCATGGAACCTCTCACGGAAGTGAGTAACAAACTTAGAGAGCCTGAATTTGTTCAAATTGCCCTTATTTAACTTTCGCGTTGTACCGTAGTAAAAACTAGGTCACGATTCAAAATGAAATCTTCGACGAGATGAGTCGTCATAAAACTTTTAGGTCATCCACGCCACTCGACAGTCGTTCACTTTCTTATTCTCGAACGGACAGATTTTATTCCGTAATATCTTCAATTTTAAAGCCGCCGATTCACGCTCCATTAAAAATTGCACTTCATTTCGAATCTGTTATTTAATTTCTAACTAGAAATTTGAATATCGTAGAGTCAGTGAGTAGAAATTGTGTCGCAAACAGTAATGGGGAGTATATGCGTTGACTTCTGTTGGGTAGGTGGAAGTATGGGCGAAACAGAAAGTTCGGCTGCAATGCACTATATCCGGGACCGAAGACGGAGCTCGTTCACCAGGCCGATGAGGGATCCCGAGGAGATCCTCGAAGGGTTACGTTCGTTGAAGGCAGCTAGAAGGGAACTCGGCAGGACGATGAGTCTCACGGGAGATAAGAGACGCGAGACCCGTGAGTGTGGTTACGTCACATATTTTTTAGCCGTCATTATCTATCCCGAACCATTCGTTCGTTCGTCCGTCCGTCCGTCCGTCCGTCCGTCCGTCCATATTCATCCGCGCGATTGTTGCCTGTCTACATATCCGTCTCTGTCTTATCTGTCTGCCTCTCACCTGCTCGTCGATTTAATTTCCACGTATCTGTCTTTGTCTCTCACTCTTCTCTTCTTTCTCTATTATTTTCTTTCTATCACCACCACCGCTCTCGATCGTTGGACCGTCGTTCCGCTCGATCCATCCTCGTCCACCAGCCGACCAGCAGTTCGAAATCTTCTTCGTCGGCCGGCGCCGTGCGTATCGTACGCATGCGAATAAATGTATTTGCACGGACGTACATGTATATATACACCTGTAGAGGCAGGGTGCATTAACGAAGTTAGACGGTTACTAATTATTATGGAACGAATGCGACGCGTGATTCGACTCGCAGAACGTAGAGAATCTTGTTTGTTTGCGAAGATTGAGAGTCGCGGAGAAATTTTATTCTACAGATAGTAACAACGTGCAGGAAATATCTGAAGAAATTTATTTTCAACGGTAGATATTGCGTATGTTATTAACGGGGTAGACTTCGATAGCTTCGCGATAATTCAGAATGTCAATGTTAGGAAAGTAAGAAAAATATGAGTTCACGTTCCGAGGAGGAAGACAGAATCTGTTTTACATTCTAGAGTGCTTTGGTCATTATTCAGCGGGACTATGTTGATATTTAATATAATATGAGTTACAAAGTGAAACAAAAGCGTAGTTACTACACTTTGGACTTTAACATTAGACCTATCAACATTTCTTGTATATTACGTTCCTACCGTCCCCGATCGAAATAAGCAGTCTTTGTAAAAGGTACTGTTTTCATAATTAAACGTAGATAATAGTCAACTTGTTACTGAATGAATTAATAAATAAACAACTTTCATGACAACACAAATAATTTCAATTATAAACTTAAAAGGAAAATTAAAAATGAACAGAAGTTAATTGTGTAAAAGGTAGGTTTAGTGTTAAACAATTTTATCCCAAACAGGAGAGACTATTCTGAATTGAATAAGGAACAGAGCGCTCTGAAATCTGGCTTAAACTGACTGAATATTAAAACGAATTTTGTCTTGATTCCCTGAGAATTAAAAACGTAGCATACTTTTAGTCAATTTAATGGGTAACATTGACATCCTGCCTTATCATGCCCTTATCAGAGTCTACTTCATCAAGACTAATTACTTTAGCATGTTGAATTAAAAATACGAAGATCGACAAGACTGAATTGCTCAAGGATGAAAAACTAATACATAATCCTTAGCTTGGGACGTAAGAGCGTACATACACGAAGCTCAATTGGTTTTCTGTATAGATATGTGTAAGTCCGTATCATTTGTGCACATTTTTGTGAATCTCTTCATATATCATTCATTCACCAGCCTTTATTGTCTTTACACACTTATATGTATTCTCTGTGCGATACCATGCATTTTCGTTCATATTTTACTCTTTTTACTATTTCTTCACGTCTCTCTCTTCGTTTCTACGCTTTCCACTTTCCGTGTGTCTTCGTGTGATCACGTGCCATCGATCTCGCGCGATTTGACCGAGCGAACAAGTATCCCAACAAATTAATTTCGTCCAAGTAAACCACCGTGGACTCCCGTTCGAGTGACGATAAATAATGAATAAATTAAGAGCCATTCAGCCGGAAACGGATCGGCCTGGAAGGGAGCGGTGATTCGATGGACCGATGCTTTAAATAATTAATCTGTCCGGGTAATTAATCTTCAACGATCAGTCGGACGATTTGCCACCTTATCAATCGTTTCTCTATTTGTTTGCCTCGGTTCTGTTAATTCGCTAAGTGCTCAGGATTCCGACGATCGACCAGTCAATACTTTCAGTAGAGATTCTTCCATTAGAAACCTTTAACAACTTATTTCGGATAGGTTTCATTTATTTTTTTTCTCTTTTTACCAGACGTCCGGTACGAGTTTTTAATTACGTCTTGTTTAACTTCTCGTTAAACCTGTTATATTATTATCTTGTTAAGACAGATAGTATCGAGTCTCGTTGACGTGTATCTCGATGAAAAGCGGGAGAACAATTACTTCCGTTCCGATGAACGTAGCTCGAAGGGATGAAAACTTGGACGTTTCGATTCAAACTCGAACCAAGGAGTCGAGAGTCTGACACGTTACCGTGGTAATCCAAAGTTTTCCATCGTCACGTGAGGGATTAATCGTTCAGAACAAGAGGGAGTCGCTCGTCTAAAACTTACGCGTAGCATACATACGTACGTACGTACATGGAAAAGCGTAATTGACTAGAACGAGCCGAGTGTCTCGCGTTCGTACAGTTGCGAAATCGCATCATCCTGTCTCTGCCTGTCTGTCTATCTATTCATCGGATAAAGCTGGCATCTCCGAAAGTTCATTCGTTCGTCGCAATGATCTGTGCTCTATGCTCATCTCTGTGCGATCGCTGTTGCGCCGCTGTTGCCTGTCGCTGAGTACTCGTGAGCCAGCCTGAGACGTCCTCCGGCGAGTGACCGAGAAATAAAACGATTGGCAAGTCGAAAACGAAGCAAGCATGACGCAGTGAACAGAAATACGAACGGAGGAGGTCGGAAGCGGTCTAGGGGAGAGAAGGAAGCGAGAGCGATCTTCTTTCCCGCTCCTCTGCACGTAATTCTCTGTGAGTCCTATTTAAAAGAAATGAAAAAAAAGCATTGAGTAAACAGCCGTCTATATATTACATCTCGCCAGGCCTGGTTCCTCATTTACGTTGAAACCACCAAAAAAAAAAAACGCAAAGCTGCCAATAGCTATATATGCGCTCATCGTGTTCTCCACTATATACTGAGTGTTCGTCTTCTCTCATGACCCACCACGCTGACCGATGACGAAAAAAAGCAGCGCGAGTGTTTCTGTCATACCTTCCTTCTTTTTTTGGCCTCTTTGTTGATTTTCTTGATCTCCTTTCTCGGTCGGCACCGTCCGGCAATCTCTGACACGCATACACACGGTCGATCAAAATGCTCGGTTCGCTCGGTCGAAACGCCCGTCGCCCCCGGCCATCGTCACCATCCCGACACCCCGATTGGCGACGAATCGTGGGCTCGATCGACCAACCGACCACAACCATCTCCGATCAACGACAACAGCGTGCGTAGTCCCAACGGTTACTGTGTGGCAGTGCGAGCCTGTATCTCCGAGGACCGGTAACTCGGCCTCCTTCCCACTGCCGCACTTCATACCACCTCGATAAATAGCCACAGGACACTGTGGAGCACCGTCGCGGGCTTCCGGTAAGATACATTTTCTCTCTCGCCCTCGCCCGGACCCACAACTCCCCCACGTCCCGCTCTGTCCACCCGACTGTTTCTGCCTATTTCCGCCTTGCTTCGTCCACCTATTCTTCTGCATTTCAGTTTTTACTCGAGATTTTTGAGCCGATGCGCCTGTCTTGGCCATTCGTTTGTTCACTGGTTTACCTGTCCATCCCGATTGGCCGCAAACGTTATACTTGATCCACTGATATACAGGATGTCCCGGAACGCACAATTTTCCTCGAGGGAAAGAGAGTGAAATTCTGAGTCGAATGTTTCTTTTACATTTTTTTCTTTTAAAAAACGTTGTTATTAACGAAAGAAGTGAACCAATGTTACGTCGAGCGTAATTATCACTAATAATCAGTTTGGTGGCCTGCACTGGTGATGGCTATAATTGCTGCTTTTTAATCACATGTGTTCTGCTCACGTTCGTTCCCATTCACGTGCTGCGCACTGGCACTTTCAATCCTGACTTACATCTGCAGTTGGAGTTTTCTTTATAGTTTTTCCTCAGCTAATACTATTCAACAGTGACTTTGATTTTCATATACAGCCTCTTATTTTTACTCCCTGTATAATGATTTATTAATACAAGAATAATTATTTCTATGTAACTGTGGTTGTGAGCTCTTGAGTGCATCTTACTAATCAATCTAATCAATAATTAGTAACGTTCTTTTTTTTATGTTCATTGTAACATTGTATTATGTGTTTTTTTGGTAATCTATGAAAGTATATAATAAACATTGTTATAGAAAAATAGCACTTCAAACTCTGCGATGGGGCTAAAATTTTCTCTCATCTAATGAAATCAAGTAAATCATTTATCCATTTAATGAGAGAGTCGATTAATCATTTTCAATAAACAAAATCGTAAAAAATAGATTACGAAATATCATAATTGCTCGACGGGTCCTTGCGTTAGTGCTGCATGACATTTATGTGCGACTCGTTCACTTTTTTCGTTAATTACTGTGTTAATAGGGATTGGAGGGAACTTCGAATTTCATCCCTTTTCAGGCCTCCACAATAGAATTTCTAAATTCTGAGACACCCTGTATTCTTACGCTCTCGTCTCACCCCCTTACGTATATCTGTCTACTCCCCATTTTCCTTTGTTTTAATAAATAACGAGTACTCATGTAATTGTCTCTCTTTTATATTTTGTACTGGAAAGAAACTCGCGGTTGCAGCGTATTGTCCTTTATTTCTTATTTCGTTTTATTCTCGTTGTTACCGATATTGTACCGTTCGAACGTTGCCTCTTAATGGAGAAGATTTTAATTAAAAAAAGTTGAAAAAGAGGCGAGAAAGGATAACCACGTAAAAAGAACATAACCACGGATTATTGTGTTTTGCTCGAAACGTTGTCCTAAATGTAAGTGTGGATCAATATTTAAGAGCATCCCGCATCCTAGTAACTTTCTGTCAAGGTACCTCCGTAGGAGAGTCGGACATTACGTAGCGAACTCTATTCCCGTTTCCACCTTTTTGCACTGGCTCACTTTATATTCCCGCGCCGCACAGCCGGTAGCGCTTTATAGATTAAAGTACTCGCTTGGTATCGTACTATTAGCGGTAAAGTATATTTAATAGTTAACCACTCGTTGTGTTATATCTGCGATCATGATCTTAGGTAAGGCAGCACGAACGTTGAAATATCGTTGAACGTACTTTGAGAACGCCGAACAATTTGTCAAAATGATTCAGAAATATTTATGACAAACATAATAAATCTTGTAATAAATATGAAATGATCAGAGGGTCAGACTTAGTGCAAAAATAATTTGTGCAATTCCTCGCAAAGAAGTAAATGATACAAATCATACGTTTGATTAATGGTTGACTTATACTACTCATTTTTCAGAGAGAATGTAATGTGGATGTATTTTACATTTTTTACAGCAATGTTCTTAGATTCTTTCTTTCTCTTTCTTATTTCTTTTTACTTTTCATGTTTCATGACTAAACATTTTTTATTTTATTTTATAAATTAGAGTTTGATTAGAGGTTGATTTTGTAAAGGGGTATAATATGTTTGATTACTTTTTAATGTAATGGAGCTGAGTGAATTAATTTCCGATAATAAGATAGAAGGAACAGGCATCGGCAGCATTATTGGTTTGGTGATCAAACGTGCCGCAAATTGACCCATTAATTTCAATACTGCTGAAATCTTCCGACAGATTCCAACCGGACTATCGGTGTTCCCACGAAACATGCTTGATGACAGATTTCTGATGTTCCTGTCAGACATCTGATAGAACGGTATTGCTACAAATACTCGGATACTAAATTACGATCAATCGCTAAATTTTAGTCGAATCGAAAGATACTAAAACCAAAACGTGATTGAATTTATTTAATAGAATTAAATGTAATCTGAAGGAAAGGATTTTAGATAGTTACACGTTTTTCTTAATAATTTCAGTTCTCAACGTTCTTTGAACGATAACGAGATTAGATAATATAGTAACGTTAATCCACACTAAACTAATAAAATGTACCACACGCTTGAAAGTCACTTGATTTTGAATTTTGTCAAAATCAGTCATACACGATTAACGTTGCAATAAAAAATTCAGTCGTACAATTATTGTATTTTATATGTTTACCCATCATCACGCTAAATGATTGTTTCACATAGATCCCGTAGGCCCAGTAGATCCAGTAGAGTAGCCAGTAGCGTAGCAGTAGTGTCGACCTCGTAATTAGTAATAAACTCAATGGCGTTGAAGCAGTAGCTACAAGTTGAAGTGTCCCGTTCCGTTCTTACCTAAAGTTTTGCAACACGTAGCTAAGGAAAGCGTAAGTAGGTTTGAGTTTAGTTTATCTGCCTATCCTCTTTAAATTTCTCGACGCTTTCTTCCGTAAGTGCGAGCGTTACATGGTAGAAATCAATTCTTGACCTTTCACGAAATTTTCTAAAACTAGTTGTACCTCTCTCCTGTATCTTATTCATTAATTTTGTTAACAACATAGACTTGAAACCAGCACAGACTCAGAACCACTACATTACCCACATTACTTGCACTCATTCACAATTACAAATGGCACAACTTAGAAAGATCCAAGTTCCTCTGTTTTCTATGTGTGCGTCGTAGTAACGTTTTTGGAGACCACAGATTGTTCACCTTGTCTTGAACAAGAGATCTGTTTAAAAAATAGTATAATTTTGCAAGACTGAAATAAACATAACACTTTTTATTTTGCTAAGTACATTTTTAAAATTGTGTATTATTTTAATGTTACATTTCAAGTGAACCAATGATTACTTTGATGATTATCTTAACAATTCACATTCGCGCATCTAACAAGAGACATAATATAAGTACATGCAATCAGAGATGCCATATACAGTCTTGAGGACACTTTTCACAAGTTCAGAGTTACGTTGATTGTAAAAAGTAAAGCTTCGCTCGAAAAGAGTATGAATCGTAGGCAATCCAGATTCAGTAGATACCAGGAACGGGTTCTCGAGCAACGACTCCTCAGCAATCTGCGTGACATTTCTGTGAGCGAGCAAAGAGAACCGACTTGTTTTTCGGTCTTGAGATAACGAGAGAAAGAAACGGGGAAATCAACGTATCGCATCGGTAAAAGTATATCATGCGACACGCAGGTTGGTGGGCGGGTAATCGCGAGATGAACCCAGTCACAGAAAGGAAATATGTTTCTCTAACTCGCAGGGCGGGGTGAGCGCAAGGACAGCGTCATAAATATTCCGGACAGATTTTACGATCGCAACAGCGAATCGGACGAGGAGGAAAAATGGAGGTAAGCAGTACCGAAGAGAAAGAGAATATTATACAGTGAAATACTGTCTCGAGTCGCTCTAGTTTGTTTTCGTATTCACGTACAAAGCAATCTATGTTGATACGACGTATTATTAATAGACTGTGGATGTTTATGCACTTATGGGAATTGTCAATCATTTTCAGAGGCAGAATATGCAGTAATATGCAAATAAATACAATTTATAATACTTCGAGAAGAAAACAGATAATTTATAGAGATTTCGATTCTTTAATTTTATTTATAAAAGTAGGAATTTTCTTAAACATCCGTAGTCTAATTATTAGAAATCTGCCATAGCATATTTCTCATGGCTGTTCTACAGTACAACGTTTAATCTTCTGCAGAAATGTGATGAATTTAAAATTCATATCTCACATGAATCAATGTAACATTGTTCATTGTAACACTGTAATTAGTTCAGTGTTTTCGTTTTTGATATTTCGTAATTGTTTCAATAATTACTGTGCCTGAAAATCTGTTTAAATTATGTAACAGAGAATTGATTGTGCAATCACGTTTCAAATTGAATCGTTACGAACGAGAATGGGGAAAAGGAGTTTTTCAGTTCATTGATTTTAGAGGCACCATTACCAGGGGTATTCTCATAAAAAGCTCCTTTGGAGCTGTAAAGAATGCCATAAATCTGTCATTAAAACTAGTAACGCGAATCGTCAATTTAATGTCATATGGACTTTGAAATTAACGACTGCCATAAATGCGTATAAGTTATACCTTACTGTCTTTTATTCCAACAATATTTGCTTGATAGTTCCACTATAAAATATCGATCCGTTTTTCAAAGAAATAGCTTTTTCATAAAATTAGCTTGTGAGTTCATAGAATTCTTAGGGATTTAGCAAGTTGAAAATTTAGCAAGATTTTAAATTAAGATTTCGTGAACTTATTTCACTCTACATTTTTACGCCATTTCATGATATATTAATTTTAACCCGGGTTTTTACTCCCTTTTCGCATTTAGTCAGCTAGCGAGAAACGAAAATGGTGTTGACGCGAAGCTGGGTCGCGGACAGGTGCCACCGAAGGGATTCAAGATAATACCTGGTAAAGGATTTGAAATTATTATATTCCCTCTTTTCCATACGAATTTAAGAAACAATTATTGCCCTTTTCAATTAATCATATCCCAAATGCATTTTTATGGGAGGACAGAATTTGGCATCAGAGAAGTTTCTAGAAAAACAAGTCCGATGAACTATGAATTAATAAGAAGACTTATTTACATATTTCAGGAGCTCAGAACGGTGAGGTGAAACTAGGTTTCTGCCTAAGCAAGGGAACGTTGGAAGTCGAGGTAATCTGTGCCAGAGATATTTGTCCTGGTGAGAAAGATGAACCAGGTAATGATCCTTTTATTCACTCAGCCAAAATATTTCAAACAATTATTTAGACGAACGTTCACGTATATAAAATAAGACTTACACTAAAGAAACGGTCACGATGCAGCATGCCAGATACCCAATGAACGAATACTTCTGCCTAAATCCAAGATAATGACTGTGTAAATTAATTCTTGCAATAATCCAGACACGTACGTAAAGACGTATCTTCGTGACGGCGAGAGGTGGCTGCAGAAGCGTAAGACCCGCGTGATAAGACACTCGAGGAACCCGCAATACCGTCAGACCATCAAGTACAACAGCTGCGATGCGCTCGGTAGAAATCTACTGGTGATGCTGTGGGAGAAGAAGCAGGCGTTCGAGAGTAATCAGGGCTTAGGCGGGGCCGAGGTGTGCCTCGATCATCTTCCATTGACACGATTAACCGTCGACTGGTACCCGTTGTACCCGATCCACACTCTGGGCACCCAAACCGCGGACAGTCCATGATGGCTCAGGGAAAAATGGGCCCTCGAAGCTGGAGAGCTCGATCTCAGGCTCAGTCTTCTTCTAAAGGACGAAGACGAGCCTACAGTCAAGATTTTCTCTTGATGGAACCAAGCTCAGTAAACGACCCCTATTCTATTAACCTCGTTACTTCGTCTTAAATGACTTTTAGAGAGATCTATGCTGTAAACGTTTCGAATCTGTTTCCTCGTTACAATTTTCTACATTAATCTTTAATTGAGTTTCTCTCTTGACCTTTTTATTTGGTGGTGATCACACCTGGGCTGTAGTCCGAAAAGATACATCTAGCGCACAAACTGAGACTATTTAGAGGATTAAATAAGTCGTTGGATTTTGGATATTATTTGGATAAATGACAAACATGAAATACCTTGTATAGTGTACTTTATATAACTGCTGATCGATTCCAATTTATATATCTTTAATCTTACACGATAAATATGTTATCTGTTTCAATATATTTTTACCGAGTTTTATAAATATCACTTTTGAAGTTCATCGTTTTAAAGTCAATCGTTTCAAATTCACCGTCGTTTATTCTAATGATTCGATACATCATCATCGATACATCAGAATTACAGTTGCATTAAGATTTTCGGGTAAAATGTCCTAACTGAACGTAAAGGTAAAGAATGATGGACTGTTAAGCCTGCTAATAAAATGAGAAATACCCCAGGCTGTGGCTGTCATTACTGATGGATAAAATTTATTTAACGAAAACTTTTTAACAAGAATTAAACCGATTAAAACTGAAATTCTGTTGTATCGACAAGATTTATGCATTTCAATTCTAGAATTTTATTGAATGTCGCAATATTGAGCCGAATGACAATCAAACTCTGACCACTCCATTTGATGATTTACCGTCCCGGCGGTTAACGCTATAGCTACTTTCCGATCAAGTTTCACGTATCGATTTTATACGATTCTCCATGCTTCGTTCCTAGAACGACAGAGAAGAATCGAAAAATAGAAGATTGACCGGTTACACTTCGAAGAACCGAATTCTCACTATTTCGGTCCAGACCTCAATTCGTTTTGCGAATGTCCATCAAATTTGTAGCAATAAGGATGTACCTGCTGGTAAAACCTATAGCGTTTTGCAGATTACGTACGATCTATGAAACGGTACTAACGTGGAGAAAAACAACGTAAAGAGAGATTCTATTTTTTTCATTAAGATGAAAGAGAATATAAAAATGAAACACGAACAATGGGGTAGGGGAATGAAGAATGTCACATCTTTTAAAGAGACGACGAGGGTCCATTTTTCCCATAAATTAAGGCTCGGCGAGAAATGAAACGAGAGACGATCGACATCTGACGCGGTAACACGTGCTCTGGTTGATCCAGCTCCGGGATTCGATCGAGTCTCGTGGCCAAACCAATTTGCATTCGGTGAATTAAAATATACGCTAATGTTCACCAATAAAATATGTACGTCGTTAGATAGTTTTCTCGTCGATGAGGCGTCTCAGATGAAGCGACACCTTCCAGAATCAGCCGGGCGAATACAATCAACGATTTCGTGATAGCTAATCGCGCAAAGAATTTTTCTAAACAGGAATTTCAGAAGGGGATTTAATAATAGGGAAGAAACATAAATCGATGAGACGATTTCTTCGACGTTTTAATTATTTAACGACAAACAATCGTTTAAAGGCTTGCTGGTCGAGCCGAACACGAAAAGCAATGGGTACACAAGTGATCACCGGTACGACTTAACGGGCGACATGAATGATAATTGAAACAAACAAAAAAATTATCAAAACTCGGTGTTTAGAAGTCAAACAATTTTTGTAGCTCGTAGACTGACAACAGAGATTCCTTTCACACTCGTGAATTTAATACGAAGTTCCCGGAAGAAAAAAAGAAAAAAAAAAGTGAAAATAATATCACGAGGGCTACCACAATTTTGTCATCTTCTCCGTGTTCCTATTCTTCCTTATCGTTAATGATGTAAAAGATTGTTCCAGCACAGTCCTCGATGACGCTGAAAACATTGTAGCTCCGCTGAAGATTTCAGTCCGTTCGCGTTCTTAATAAAATGTCATGGTGGCCCTTGTAATGTTAACGTTAATTAAACGTCCCATTCTTTCGCTCAACGAGACGTTGTAACGAGCATGGAAAGAATATTCGAATGAAGAAGAATCTTTTCATCAAAGATCATCTGAATCTTTAAATAAATGTCGTTAAAATGTAAAAACGATGTAAGAAGGAAGGAAAAGCGAAAGAATGGGAACGTGAGAAAAATGATTGTGGACGAGAAACTGTCCGTGAGTATTGCGCTTATCCCGCCGGAGCTAGAAGCAGATTAAAAGAGATACACTATATCGTAAAATGTAAATCTAATCGGTACATGTACTATATTGAGATGATATAATATGTGTGACAAAACCAGAACTCGTGTGCGCGAACAAATACTTTTACGAGATTAATGCTAGTTCGAATGTCATACCTACACGTATTAATGGTACATAGAAATCGATGATATTGCTGACCAACAATCCTAATCGTGGCCAGATTTAATCTTTATCGGGTGCAACGAGTTTTCTAACAAAAGAAGGACGAATTCTGATTAATTTTAACTAACAATTTGCTGACCCATATTCTTTTTGAATAACAGTTATTGGGTGCAATCAGTGCAATATTCCAAGTTCGAACTAAAAAGGAGAATTTTTATTTATATGAACAGTTCAATTTTCATTTATATATATTGATATAATATTAGAATGGATGATTAATGAGAAGCTCCTGATGAATCAATTTTTTGAAAATGTACTACAATTCTCGTCAGATTTTTAATTTCTAATATAATTGTCACGTTGAATAATTAGGTTTTCATTAAATCGAGGAAAACTTCACGAAGCAATAACCGACAAAAGTATGGACCATTTAAACAAATTTCGTGGACGATAAAGATTAATATCTGTCGAGACCGAAGCATATTACGCGTTATAATTATCTTGGACGATGACCTTCTCCCAGCAAGAAACGGAGAATAGTTTTGAGAGGGAAAGGAAAACTAAAGAGAAACATTGTCCCGCGATAATCCGCAATCAGAATTTTATAAGTACACAAATGCTCGGGTGTAACGAGACTCGTACCTCACTACTACTATCAATCTCGAAATTCTTCAAAGCGTCTTTCTCTAAGAAGATCCTTTACTCGATCGTTAATTAATAACGATTCCTTCTAAGAACTCGACTCTTGCCGCGTTTTACTGGAAGCAGGAAAGGAGTGACGATTTTTTACAGTCTAAAATCACGGATTGTTCGACGGTGATGATTCTATTAGAAACGACAGGGGGAGAATCATGGAAACGAATAAAACGAAACGAACGCTCGTACAGACCGTTCGAAACGAAAAATCTGATCGGCCTACAAACATATCCAAACGTTTCATTAAGAGTACATTAGACGCGAAGATACTTTCGGCGAGGGTCGTCGGCTACGCACCGGCGTGGCTCCCGAAATGACATTGTTCGCGCTCGATGTTCAATCGCATGGACAATCCTGTTGAACGAATGCAATCATCTAAAAAAAGAATCTAATAAAAATGGGAGGTTCTTCCTTTCTAAGTGGCTTAGCACGTCGTAGGCAGTACGTACTAGATTTCGATGCGACCTATTTATTAATCAAAGCTGTCGCTGAATATTTTCGCTGGTAAGACCGCGTTTATTACCGATGACATTTCATATTTCTCTCTCTATGCTCAAGTTTCGATTCAACCAAAGGCCTTCTGTTCGTCTCGAAGCTTTGATTCTAGTAGAATTAGTATTATACTGATTCTTTTTAGTTTCTGACGCTTACGTGATATAATCATCGGAAAATATTTACCTGTACTTATGCAGAGTGTTTCACTCGCTTTTGATATCTTGCTTCTCTCGCTTTTAATGCTCGTGATGAAAATTTTTTTAGAATAGGCTCGAATGAAAAAAGGAATACTTGTACAAAATTTCGGAAGAA